ACTGTTATAACTACAGTTTTAAAACAAATGGTAAAAGTTCAGATAAATAAATAAAATTAGTAAAAAGAAAACATTTTATGAAAGCATTTAATTATAAATAACATATCTATCTATCTTGTTTAATTATTTATTGATATGAAACATTTCTTATTTATTTACTTTTGTAAAAGATACATGTACAGGTACTTCTCAAAAAATTTGCATAATGTGATAAAGGTCATTATTTTCCATAATGTAATGATAAAAATGAAACTTTCATACATTTCAGATTCATTGCACACCAACTGAAATAGTTCAGGCCTTTAATTGTTTTAATACTGAAGATTATGACATACAGCTCATGAAAACCCAAAATGCCTGTCCCAAAAAATTAGCATATTTCATCCCACCAATGAAAGACAAGAGATTTTAATACAAAAAACGGCAACCTTCAAATAATGTTCAGTTATGCACTCAATACTTGGTCGGGAATCCTTTTGCATGAATGACTGCTTCAGTGTGGCGTGGCAAGGAGGCAATCAGCCTGTGGCACTGCTGAGGTGTTATGGAGGCCCAGGATACTTCGATAGCAGCCTTAAGCTCATCCAGAGTGTTGGGTCTTGTGTCTCTCGACTTTCTCTTCACAATATCCCACAGGTTCTCTATGGGGTTCAGGTCAGGAGAGTTTGCAGGCCAATTGAGTACAGTAATACCATGGTCAGTAAACCATTTACCAGTGGTTTTGGCACTTTGAGTAGGTGCCAGGTCGTGCTAAAAAATTAAACCTTCATCTCCATAAAGCTTTTCAGCAGATGGAAGCATGAAGTGCTCCAAAATCTCCTGATAGCTAGCTGCATTGATCATGCCCTTGATAAAACACTGTGGACCAACACCAGCAGCTGACATGGCACCCCAGACCATCACTGACTGTGGGTGCTTCACACTGGACTTCTGGCATTTTGGCATTTCCTTCTCCCCAGTCTTCCTCCAGACTCTGGCTCCTTGATTTCCGAATGACATGCAAAATTTGCTTTCATCCAAAAAAGTACTTTGGACCACTGAGCAACAGTCCAGTGCTGCTTCTCTGTAGCCCAGG